AGAGGCGCGCGGAAGTACAGGGAGCCCGGAGGAGGGGCCAGGTCCCAAAGCCCGCAGGAGGGGGAAGAGCAGTCTGATTCCGCGTCAGAGGAATCCAGGAGGGCGAAACCCCAGCGGGCAGAAGGACCCTGCGGAAAAGGAAAGAGAGAAAGAGGTGGAGCAGCGCAAGCCTCTTAAATTGGTGCAGGGGAGGGACGGATTCAGAGGGGACTTCAGCGGTCTAAGCGTAGCAGACGTAGGGCTGCGCGCCTAGGATGTCAAGCAAACAATGAACTGCAATAAACACTTTTGTATATAAGAAGACATAGGCGTTGGTCTTTTGTGAGCTGAGACTTGAGGCGGCCCTGACACGCGCCATCAGCAGAGCCACATGCTGCTCCAAATCTCGGTTCCTCTCCACCAGATTTTGCACTCCAGCTGCTCCCTCCATGGCGCCAGCTTCTCCGGTTTTGCTCATGATGCTGCCTGCCTGTCGCTGTGCACGAGCGACGTCAGGGACTGACGGATTGCTGTAATGAGTATGGGTTGCTCGTGGGTAAGTTGCCGCCTCTCCTGGCTTTGTTGCCTTGTTAAACCTCTCAGTCTGGACAGCCCTTCACTTCGTGGCTGCCTCAGTCGCTAGCAGAATCCGTCAGTGGGCGTTTCTTAAACCTTTTCCAACATAAAAGTTGTTTGACACCCAGTCTCCTCCTACTCTCTCTGCGTGGAAGTCTTCTGCGCAGGGAGGGCGTGGGTAGTGGAGGACCCGTGCTCTCCCCGCTGGTGTCCAGTGAAGAGTCTGGGAGCCCACTCGCTGATTCCCCCATCTGCCCCCCTTTATTCCTGGTGTTGCGCTGATTTGCTTCCCCATCTGCTGAGCTGCCTCTCTCCTTGCTGTGCCCTTCTCCAGCATCATTTGAGAGCCTTCCCTCCGCCTCTAGCTCCAATGTCAGTTCCCTGACACGTAGGTACGAGGGTCCTAGGCTGTATAGCGCTTTAAAGGTTAAAACCAGCACCTTAAACCTGATCCTGTACTCCACCGGGAGCCAGTGCAGCTGGTATAGTACCGGATGAATGTGATCTCGCCGCGAAGACCCCATAAGGAGTCTAGCTGCGGCATTCTGCACCCGCTGGAGTTTCTGGGTCAGTCTCAAGGGCAGCCCCACGTAGAGCGAGTTACAATAATCCAGTCTGGAGGTGACCGTTGCGTGGATCACAGTGGCTAGGTCAGGGCGAGAGAGATAAGGGGCCAACTGCTTAGCTTGGCGGAGATGAAAAAATGCCGCCTTTGTTATAGCTGTAATCTGCGCCTCCATAGAGAGGGAGATATCGACGATTACACCCAAACTCTTAACGGACGGTGCTGGCACTAATTGCACCCCCGCAAGAGATGGGAGTTGCCCCCCCAATCCCATATCGTCCCGTCCCAGCCAGAGGACCTCTGTCTTCGAAGGATTTAACTTCAACCGGCTTCACGTAACCATCCAGCCACAGCTTCCAAACATCTGGTCAGTGTGTCTGGCGCTGAGTCAGGATGGCCATCCATCAACAGATAGAGTTGAGTGTCATCGGCATACTGATGGCAACCCAGCCCAAAACTCCGGACAAGCTGGGCGAGGGGGCGCATAAAGATGTTAAAAGCATCGGGAGAGTATCGCACCCTGAGGCACTCCACACACCAAGGAGTGGCGCGATGACAATTCCCCCCCAAGCGCCACCCTCTGTCCCCGACCAGAGAGAAATGAGGGCAGCCATTGAAGGACTGTGCCCTGGATCCCCACGTCGGCAAGGCTGTTCGACAGTGGAATTTGCTGCCAAGGAGTGTGGTGGAGTCTCCTTCTTTGGAGGTCTTTAAGCAGAGGCTTGACAACCATGTGTCAGGAGTGCTCTGATGGTGTTTCCTGCTTGGCAGGGGGTTGGACTCGATGGCCCTTGTGGTCTCTTCCAACTCTATGATTCTATGATTCTATGATTCTATGCTTCTATGATCTATAAGGCGGTGGTCCAGGAGTTCGTGATCGACCATGTCGAAGGCTGCTGACAGGTCTAGAAGAATCAGCAGCCCCGACCCGCCTCGATCCAGCTGCCTGCGGAGATCATCTGTTAGGGCGACCAGAGCCGTCTCGGTCCCATGACCAGCACGGAAGCTGGACTGGAATGGATCCAGAGCCGATGTTTCATCTAGAAACCTACCAAGCTGTTCAGCAAACGCTCTCTCAATCACCTTACCCAGGAATGGAAGATTCGAAACCGGGTGGTAATTGGATAGATCTAAGGGATCTAATGATGTTTTCTTTAAGAGCGGGCGCACCACTGCCTCCTTCAATTCCCCTGGAAATATCCCGGTGCCAAGGGACAAATTGATGATATCCCCCAGGGGGGCCCGCACCTCGTCTGGACACGCTCTAATCAGCCAAGACGGGCATGGGTCAAGAGGACAGGTGGTGGGCTTTCCAGCTCGGAGGAGTCTGTCCACATCGGCTGGGGATATCCGGTCAAAGTGGTCCAATACTGGACCCGAGGAC